GGTACGTTTCTTGGAAGAGAAGAAGCAGGACATCCTGGAGGCCCCCCCCTTGGACATGGGCAAGGTGAGACCACCACGGCCAGGGCAGCCGGCAGGGAGCGGTTCCCTCTCCATCTCTTGATATTTCCTCCCCCCACCCCTCTTTCCTTCATTTATAAAAGCGTCTGTGTCTCCACCTGGGTTTTTTTGCTTTTGCTCTCCCGAGCTTCTCCCCGTCCCGCTGCGGGACGGTGGCAAACGGCTGGGTGGGTGCTTGGTTGCTGGCCAGGGTCAGCCCACAGTCAGCCCACTGCACCCGGGGAGCGGTGGCCTTTGGTTTTTTATAGTTATCGTCAGCTTAACCTTTGGGGATGCCCTTGGGGAAGAGGAGAAACCATACAGCAACTCCCTCTAGCTGCACAGAAATGGAAGGGACCAGCTCCAGGGAAACCTTCACTGACAACAGCGGGGGCCCTCGTTCCCACCTCCAGAGCCGCGTCTGGTGTAGCCAAAGCTCTGAGATACCAAATCCACGTCTTCAACCGTGACCTTCTACCGAGCCCCGGGAACCTGCTGCCGTGGCACGGTGGCATGCGGGTGGCATGGCAGAGGGGTGGCCGTGCCACCCATCCTCGCAGCTGCCAAGGCCACGGGGTGTTCCCGGTGGAGTCTGTGCCAGCAGAGACGGTCACATCCTGCTACGGCTGCCAGGAGACTCCGTGACCTGCGTGAGGCCAATCATCACGGGGTGGCCACGTGGCTGTGCCTGCGGCGGTGGCCGTGACGACCCCCTGTGTCCCCCCCAGCCACCCTTTGAAGCGGAGCTCTCCGAGATCTCCATCTGCAGGAGCGAGCTCCACCACGCGCTCAACAACCTGGGCACCTGGATGAAGGACGAGCACGTGGAGAAGAACTGGGTACGGGGCGGTGGCCGGCTGGGGACGCACGGTATGGGAGGTGGGTGTCCCTCACCGCGTCCTTCCTTCTGCAGGCGACGCAGCTGGACTCGGCCTTCATCCGCAAGGACCCGTACGGGGTGGTGCTCATCATCGGGCCCTGGAACTACCCCATCAACCTCCTCCTGGTGCCCCTCATCGGGGCCATCGCCGCTGGTGAGGCTGGGCTGCGTCTCTGCCATGCTGGGAAGCACCAGGACCTCACTGGCGGTGTCCCGTGTCCTCCCTGGGGTGGAAATGGGGTGATGGTTGTGGGGCTGCACTGGGGGCTCCCCAAGAGCAACGTCCTTACCAGGAGGGAGCTCCTGTCCTGCAGGTAACTGCGTTGTCATGAAACCCTCCGAAATCAGCCGGAATGTGGAGAGGTTAGTGGCCGAGACGCTGCCCAGGTACCTAGACAAGGTAGGAGAGCCCTCGGCTGCAGCCACCTCTCTCCAGGGACACCTGCCCACATGTCCCAAACCTGCTTGGCTGAGCCACGTCCCCCCACGCGCTCCCTCTGCTCCTGCCCGGCTCTGGCGCCGCACTCCCTGCCTCCCCTCTGTGTCACAGGACTGCTTTGCCGTGGTGACCGCCGGCGTGGAAGAAACCACCAGACTGCTGGAGAACAAGTTTGACTGCATCTTCTTCACCGGTACATCCCGCAGGGACGCTCCATCCCAGGCACGGGGCTGCCCCAGCGAGCCTGGTGTGGCTCCACGGGGTGTGTGGGCGGGGACACCA